GAAATGACTCCGATCTATCTACACAAACCTACGAGGCAATCAATGAAACTAGAAAAGTCATATTTGGAATAAATATTTACAACCAAAACAAAAGGATCATTGGCTATATTATATAGAATTTCTACAAGTCACAGGACAAAATACAATGCAATACAAATATGAGCAAAGGAACAAACAGGACACTTACAGAGGAAATACAAAAGGCCAATAAATGAAGATTTTCAACCTCATTTTTAATCATGGAAATACAAACTAAAATGAGATCTCATTTTTCAAACATCAGATTGGCAAAAATGTTAAAAACAGGTTAACATCCAGAACTGCTTATATATGTGGGGAAACAGGAGCTCTCATTCACCATCAGTGGGTGTTTAAAATGTAAGAGCTGTTTCAGGAGGGGATCTCTTTTGAAAAGGGCATGTATTTATATGTAGTAAGTCTCCTTACCATCACACCAGATTCATGACAATAATTTCTCTTTGTCTGAATCATACATTTTAATAATAATTATCTGCAAAAATTAACCCGTGGCATATTATACTTCCTCTGTTATATTTACTATACTTCAATGTTGTCTTCCTTCCTAGACTATAAGCTTCTGGAGGACAGTGACACTAACTTACTTTTCTGTCTTTAGCACCATACATAGAACTTGGCATACATCACACATCCAATAAATATTTCTTTGAATGACTGAAGACTTCCCTGGATTCCCAATCCGGTGTTCATACTATAGCAGTCTGCCAGTTAAACCTGCTACTTTAAAGAAGTGTGATTTAAATACTATTTTTCCTTATGTTTCAACAAAGTGTACAGACTGCATTACAGTATTACCAGAAAATTCAGAACTGAACAGGATTAGGATCCTAAAATATCATCTAATCTGTCCACCCTTCCTCTATTCAGGCCTACCTACAACTAAACCATTACTCACTGCGTTTTTCAATTCAACATTTATTGAACGTCTTCTAACTGCAAAGGAAGTGTAGTGTTAATGTGTCCTGTGGGCCGCTTTCACATTTCTAAGCAAGGACTATAATCACTAATTGTTTTTTAAATCCCCATGCACTTGGTAGGGTGCACCTTGCATGTTTCAATGAGTACTTATTAATATTCTACAAACCGATATTTATTCCTTTATCAGCTAAGTTTCTAGAAGCCTGCATCTCGAAATTCTAAACCATACCTCTGCTGTTGCTGCAGAATCTGTGAGGTTTCTGGGTGTGTGTAACCAGACAGGCGCATGACAACCTCCCAAAAATGTAATCATAGACCCTGTCGTTCTTACTTTCTAGTATACTTGTGACCTGACATGTGTTACTAAAACTCTGTGGTTACTATTCTTTCAACTCAGAACCATCCCCACAATCAGCCAGGCAAAGATGTGTGACTGTCCTAATCTTTGCCATGTCCCTCAGATCATCCACCTGTGAATTCTTTGTTTTGGTTTTTGTTTTTTTTCCAGGCAGACTCTGCTGTTGTTAGAGCAGTAAAGACAAGAAGATTAACACAAAGACCAGATGCTAGAGGCTTTAACTTTCTGAACCTCACAAAGGATGTCATGATGTCAGGCATTTGAGCCAGAAAGAAACTCGGGAAACATGAAGACTAATTTCCCAGCCTGCCCAAGCATTTCAAGCCAGCAATAATTAAGTAACTTGCCTAAGGTCACACAGTTAGCCAGGAAGGGCTAGCACTATGGCCTCTCTCCTGTTCTCAATTTCAGTATTATTTCTCTCCATTTAAAAATAGCCCAAGCGCTACTTTGGGGGGGGGGGGGGAAGACAAGAATGACCAAAAGAATAATTTTAAATTATTAGTCAAATTCATAGAGGAAAAAGTTTAGAAGTCTATAGAAAAAATTTTTTAAAGTTTATGTATTTTGAGAGGGAGAGAAAGAGAGAGGGAGAGAGAGAGAACAAGTGGGGGAGAAGCAGAGAGAATCCCAAGCAAGTTCCAGACTCCACACTGAGCTCAACACAGGGGCTTGATCTCACGACTGTGAGAGCATGACCTGAGCCAAAATCAAGAGTCAGACTCTTAACCAACTGAGCCACCCATGTGCCCCTGAAGAAATTTCTTGAAAGAGCAATGAGTTATTCAAGTGTCCATGAGTCTTTCTAAAAACATGAATACATTACAAATTAAGTGTTTAAATAGTGATCATAACACTGTATTCATTTTTAATCAAATGCATAGACAGCTGTAAACATTTTAAACGGACAGCCTCATGGTAGACACCTGCACCTTGAACGGCTGTAAAGCAAATCTCCGCTCATGAATGACACCGGAATCTGTACACACCTGAAGTGACATCAACGCACTTCGATGGTCTCAGCCTAAGCTGAAAAATCGATAGCAGAGCTTCAAGAATTGGCTTAGATGCCTTGTCTTTTCTATAACTGACATAAACCAAACTGAAAGATGAGTTGCACTTGGAAGAGAAGGAAATTCCATGCATTTAGTTCTGTCCCAACAGGACTACAGTTGAACTCTTTGAACAAAAGTCCCTTGTAACTCAAGGATGAGAGATGCAAGAAATAACAAGAGAGATTTCTTCCAGAGCAAATTAGTGTTGAGGGATATTATTTCATTTATAATTTTTTAAATCTGCATTTGAATTTTTCTATTTTTTTCTGGAAAAATTAATGTTATTGATATATCCAAATAAAAAATATATATGAATGGCAGGACTATCAGGAATTTTGCCCAGATTACCCCAAACAATGGCCTGGGTACACGAGAGGAAGGGGCGCTAATGCACAAGTAGAGTGGTTGGCCAAGCTTTAGAGCACAGACCTTTCCCCTATAGTAATAGGACGAACAACATGGGATACTTCCAGCAAGGCGGCTCGATGAGAGCCTTTGGAAGTTCTTTTCTGGTTGTTCTCTTGTGTTGGTCAAACAGGAAGCAGGATCATCAGCTGAGGGTGAAGACGGGGAAGGAGCTGGAGGTCTGATGTGAGTAACGAGTTGGATGGTTGGCAGGAATAGGGCACTACATCACTGCCTTAGCTTCCTAACTAGATGTCCTATGTCTTGCTCCCATGGAGTCTATTCTCAACAGAATGGTTCCTTTAACATATAAGTTAAATTATCACTTCTCTCTGAAGAGCCAAAAATTAAGTACTCCATTAAGAGAAACCTCAGGATGCACGTAGACCCAGTCCCAGTCCCAGGAAAAGTCTCAAGACTGTTCAAGGCTAAAGCCATCCTCAGACCGCCCTCAGTTCAGCTAATCAAAAAGTAAAAAGAAACATTCCTATGGTCTGAGTCAAGGCTGGGAACTGCAGATACAAACTAGCCAATTTCTCACTGCTTGCCTGAACCCCACGTGGGCCCTTTGAACTCACCTCATAATTGGTCATTTTCAAAGGATTCTCAAAAGTCATGAATGGGTCACACCAAAAGTAATGAAAACCTCACAGATACTGAATGGTCAAAGCTGTAATTGTAATTGGTGCTTATGTGATGATGCTACATGTACTGTAACACCCCCATCCCTTACTCCTTAAAAACCCTGTTCGCTATTTTTCTTGGCTTCACCTTGCTGCCATGACACCGGTCGGCTGGTGAGCCTACCCTGCTCAAGCATGTAATAAAGACCCTTTTGTATTTGCATCGGTGCCGGCTCCTGGGAGGTCTCTGGGACTCGCGATTCGGGCACAACATCTCCTCAAAAATCCTCCTACAAAAATTGGCAAATTGCATGTAAATTATACCTCAATACAGCTGTATAAACTACTACAACCACCTTCCTGTGGCTTCTGGTCTCACTCAGAGTAAAAGCCAAACTCCTACACAGCCCTGTGACCTGGAGCCCTCTTAGCTCTCTCACCTCACATCTGTCATCTACTGTCAACATCAACTCACTCTTCTGTCCACAGTGGCCTCCATAAAGGCTCGAAGGATTTGAGCCTCTGGGCCTTTGCATTTGCTGCTTCCTCTATGAATTCCCCACCCCAACCTCAGCTATCTGCAAAGCTCAGCCCCTCATTTTCTTCAAGTCTCAACTCAAGGTTACACTGCATGAAACAACAGCTGTCCTGGGGCCTCCCTAAGCCCATTACTCTAGCGTAGTTTCCTTTGCTAGTCATTACCTGACACACTATAATATTCACTCATTTACTGTCTGTGTTCCCATCCTGGACCATCAGTTCCACAAACGCAGGGACTTTGTTTTGTTCACGGCTGTGTCCCCAGGGCCTCAAACACTACCTGGCAAAAAGCAGCCCCCTCCATTAACATTTATTCAATGACAAAAAAAGAAAGATCTTTCCTCCCTCTGGGCATAGAGATGATATTTCAGGAAAGAAAAAGTAAAATCGAGTTGCATAACAGACTCACTTGCATGTTTTATGCGTATAACATTGCCAAATAAACTCAACAAAGTATGCTACCTGGAGTTAAGTGTGAGACGGAAGATTCCGCTGTTTCCTCAGTCTCACTTCTCACATGGCCTCTCATAAGTGAGTTTCAGAAGAGCGAGCAAAGAAATGGATGTCAGAAGGCTTACATTCTGGGTGGGTGGGGATGGGGGGGAGGGGAACTACGAAGTTCCGACATCAGTCTTCCTCTAATTCCCAAACAAGGGCTGGAGCGGCGGTCCCTCTCCTTTGAGTGTCTGATCCCACCAAGCCAAGGCCCCGCACCCCCGCGCTCCGGCTTCGCAACCTGCTCTCCTAACCCCAACCCCCGAGTGAAAGCCCAAGCCCTGACCCTTAAGGCTGGGGTGCCCAGCCAGGGCTCTGCCTCCCCTAACCCAGAGACAGTCCTAGACCTACTTAAATTCGTTGCAGAGTCCAAAACAAACCGCTTCGCGCTGAACTCGGACGCGAACCGCGACCTCCAATTCTCGGTCTTTCTTCCGCCCCCGCCACTGAGCCGGGAAGACGCGCTCAACAGGCCTCTCGCGCCGCGCCCCATCCCCCAGGGTCAGGAGTCCTGGCGGAGGCCCCTCTCACACAACCACCCGGGTGCAGGCGTCGCGGAGGACTCACCAGCTCCACGAAGAAACGAACACCGTCCGACTCTCCAGCGTCTTCACGCCACATGCCAGGAAGTGCGCCTGCGCATGCGGCCGTCTGGAACTACATTTCCCAGCATGCTAAGCAAAGGCAGGGCACCCGGCCGCAGCGTCTTCCACGCCAATAGTTGACTTTCTACCTCGTGGCGAGTAGTGAAGGGGAGTGGCTTTCTTTCGTTATTTAAATAAAAGGAAAAGAGGAAGGGAAAATAAGCTTTTACTTTCAGTGTAGACTAATATGAACCCAAAGGGATGCAGATTTTTCGTTAACCTTTACACAAAAGGAACGCCTATTATAGTAATAGATGAATATAACCTTATTCAACAAGCGAAAAGAACTTTAAAAAAACACACAAACTAGATGGAATTCCTTAACAAAGGGATGATCACGGTTAACACCGTGGTATGCATAGAGTATTCTAAAAATAGGTCTCACAGGCAGCCCCCTTCTTCTAGTGCTGGGAGGACGGGTGGGTGTGAAAGAGGAAGAATGATTGATTCCAGCCAAGAATAAGGTAAAACTACTTTTCATGTGACATATTTTCTAGCTTTTTTGTCTTTCTGTTACATATTTAGATTATGGTCATTGTAATGCTACACAAAACAGTACTTTGATGAATCCTTGTAAATTATGCCCTCCTCCACATCTCTTCTTGAGTAGAGCCCGATAAATACATTTAATTAAAAGGGAATGTACTTACCTTACTTTTTTCTATACAAAGAATATGGGTGGCTTGTAGAGAATAGCAGTAAGTAATAAAATCAGGTAGAAGCCCACTCTAAGAAACCCACTATATATATTTAAATATTGCACACTCTGTATATGTGTGTGTGGATATATTTAAATATATATTTACTTGTGGTTAAGTATGTACTGTATATACTTCTGAAATTATAAATAGAGCAATGTAAAACAAACAAACAAACAAACAAAAACATAGAGCAATGTAGGGTGCCTGGGTGGCTCAGTGGGTTAAGCCACTCACTCTTGGTTTCCCATCTGATTTCCACTCTGGTCATTATCTCAGGGTTAGTGAGTTAGAGACCCAAACTGGGCTCTACGCTGACAACAAGGAGCCTGCTTGGAATCCTCTGTCTCCCTCCCTCTCTGCCCCTCCCCTGTTTGCTTTCTTTCTCAAAATAAATAAACTTACAAACAAACAAATAAATAAATGTAATACAATGAAAGTGCTTTTACTTTTTTTAAAGTTTTATTTATTTATTTTGAGAGAGAGGGTGAGCACCAGAGGGGGAAAGGGGCAGAGGAAAAAAGAAGCCCAGTCAAGCTCCACACTCAGCACTGAGCCTGACATGGAGCTCCATCCCACAACCCTGGGATCATGACCTAAGCTGAAATCAACAGTCAGACGCTTAACTGACTGAGCCAACCAGGTGCCTAGAAAGTGCTTTTAAAATTTAATTTCTTGTAAACATTCCTTCATGTCTTTAAACATTATTCTACATTAATGTTAGCACAGTGAAGTGAGCTACACAGCAATATATAGAAGTGATAACTTATGAACAAGCAGGGTCTACCTCAAGATTACAAGACTGGATTAACATTTAAAATGTCATGAAATTTAAAAGTCAAGAAATAAAGTTGACTGCATTTTTACATTTTTAATGAGTTATAAGACACACACAAGAGTAAAACAGAGATGGAAGTGCAAGAGCCAGAATAATTTGGGAAATTAACAGTATTTGGTTTCGTTTGTTCATATATTCATAAGATGGAAGTCTGACTAATTGATCTTACATATTTCTTCTTTTCTAGTAAAACATTTAACACTATAAGTTTTACTTTAAGCCCTGGGATAGTGGTATTTCTAACACTTTGATATATTTTATTTTCATTTCAATATCATTTGACGTTTTCTATTATCTCTTGTTGACTCATCTTTACTTAGGCTAACAAATGGAAATTTGACTTATTCTATCTTTTCAGAAAAAAAACATGCTGTACCTCCCTCCCATTCTAACCACACCCACCTAAACACTTGCAAACGCCATTTTTTTTTTAATGTTTTATTTGTTTCTGAGAGAGAGAGACAGCATGAGCAGGGGAGGGTCAGAGAGAGAGGGAGACACAGAATCGGAAGCAGGCTCCAGGCTCTGAGCTGTCAGCACAGAGCCCAACGTGGGGCTCGAACCCACAAACCATGAGATCATGACCTGAGCCAAAGTCGGACGCTTAACCAACTGAGCCACCCAGGCGACCCACATGACGCCATTTTGATCTGTTATACCTGAAGAATGTCTAAAATAGGGGAGATTCAACTGTGAAGTGTGCAACTGTGACAACATCTTGAAGTTGAAATAAACATAGTACCTAAGCATTTGGGTGACCATCAGCATACACAGCTTTAAGTAAATCTCAACAGTAAGCATGCAAATATTGCAATTCTTTAATTTGCAAATCATTTTTACATGGTATTTTCAGCACTACTAGAGTAGTTCCATTTGTTTCAATTTTTTTTTTAAGAGAGAGAGAGAGCTCAAGTGGCAGAGAGGGGCAGAGGGAGAGGGAGAGAGAGAATTTTAAGTGGGCTCTGCGTGGGGCCAGATGTGGGGCCCGATCCTACAACTCCGGATCATGACCTGAGCCAAAATCAAGAATCAGACTCTTAACCAACTGAGTCACCCAGGTGCCCCCATTTGTTTAAACTTTTAACTCTGCCTGGAAACTCTGAAATATCTTGAGTTTATGTACAGTATAATGTTTCAGAGTCCCTGGGTATGAATCATGGTGTCCTGTGTAATCCCTTCAATTTCAGGTGTTTAAAGAGACTAGTACCTAATTCATAGTGCCCAAGAAATGCCAATTATACTACTACTGAAATAGAAAGAAGGCAGTATGAAGTATCCTTTTAAAGAGAATTCAGGGGCTCCTGGGTGGCTTAGTCGGTTAAGCGTCCGACTTTCGCTTAGGTCATGATCTCACGGTTCGTGGGTTCGAGCCCCGCGTCGGGCTCTGTGCTGACTGCCAGCTCAGAGCCTGGAGCCTGTTTCAGAGTCTGTGACTCCCTCTCTCTCTGACCCTCCCCTACTCATGCTGTCTCTCTCCTAGAAATAAAAAAAAATTAAAAAAAAAAAAATTAAAAAAAAAAAGAGAATTCAAATAGGCTCAGATGTCTAAATACTAGGAGGAAAATTTAAAAAAAAAAAAAACTGTAAGAATTTCCTACCTACTGTATGCTCATGGTGATGGTAGCTATGTAAAGGAAACCATTAAAAAGAAAACAAGACATTGAAAATAGAGATATGGAATCTCTTAAGGATCTGAGACATGAAATGCCTATTGAAGGGGCACAAGCTTTCTTCTTGCTGAAGTCATATATAGAATTAATGGGATGATAGTGAGGAGGGATAAGGACTAGAAAAACAATGAATTCCAATGAATGGAGGCTCTCTGAAAATATTACATAGTTTCATATGAGGCCTAACAGGCAAGCTGGATCTGAAAGAAGTTCTAAGAGGGAGAAGTTCCATAAATTATTGGTATAGCTGCAATATAAGGGGCATTAGCGTATAGTTTCCGAGATGAAAATATTGAAGGGCAAGATACATGTGAATATTTTAGTTTCTGATATGTTTGTTTAGAAAGTTGATCTCATCCGGGGCGCCTGGGTGGCTTAGTCGGTTAAGCGTCCGACTTTCACTTAGGTCATGATCTCTCGGTTCATGGGTTCGAGCCCCGCGTCGGGCTCTGTGCTGACTGCCAGCTCAGAGCCTGGAGCCTGTTTCAGTCTGTGACTCCCTCTCTCTCTGACCCTCCCCTGCTCACGCTGTCTCTCTCTCTCTCTCTCTCCTAGAAATAAATAAAAAATAAAAAATAAATAAAAAATAAAAAAAAAAGAAAGTTGATCTCATCCATTTACATCCCAACTCAATATTTATCTTCAAAAGTGACTAATAATAAATGACTAATAAAAGAATAACATGACTGCAATTCACTTTTTAGTTTAAAACCATTATTTCAAAGTTAAAATTTACAGTAAAAATCATGACTGTTATTGACAATTTTCAATTTTAAAATAAATCTAAGAAAAAATATTTGATAAAAATTTAGGATCAGGGAGCCTGGGTAGCTCAGTTGGTTAAGTATCTGACTCTCGATTTCAGCTCAGGTCATGATTTTAGTCATGAGAAGGAGCCTCACATCAGGCTCTGTGCTGGAGTGGAGCCTGCTTCAGATTCTCTCTCCTTCTTCCTCTGCCCCTACCCAGCTTCCACATATGCTATCTCTCTCTCCCCTTCTCTCTCTCAAACAAAACAAAACAAAACAAAAACTTAGGATCAAGTTCAATATGGTATATCAGCTTCTCCTTCATTCTAAGGAAAGGCTGAAAGGGTTTTGATATCAACCTCTCTTTTCTTTAGTTGACAATGAATATTTACAACTTATATAAAGTTAAGTTATTGTTCTTTAAAAGGAAAAGATGCCAGGTGCCTGGGTGGCTCAGTTGATTGAGCGTCCGACTTCGGCTCAGGTCATGATCTCATGGTTGGTGAGTTCGAACCCTGCACCAGCCTCACTGCTCTCAGTGCAGAACCCACTTTGGATCCTCTGTCCCCTTCTATGTCTGCCCCTCCCCCAAATGGACTTTATCTCTCAAAGATAAAACATTTTTAAAAATAAAATAAAATAATAAAAAATAAAAGGAAAAGATGCCTTAGATAGTAAAATTACTAAGAAAAGTGATTTGTGATAAAATACCAACTCAACAAAACAAAGACTTAATTTTCAAATAAACTATAAAATAATAGTATAATTTTTGTGTTCAGGATGGTCACAAGAAAATGTATAGGGCAGCAAAATAGATATCATTGAATCAAGATCTCAAAATATATCTCTAAGGGCTTCTACATATAAGAAACTAAAATTTAATAGCCCCTTTACAATGCATGTGTCTTGTAGTGCCTGGGTTGTTCAGTCAGTTACGAGTCTAACTCTTGATTTCAGCTCAGGTCATGACCTCAAGGTTTGTGGGTTTGAGCCCTGCATCGGACTCTGAACTGTCAGTGCAGAGCCTGCTTGGGATTCCCTCTCTTTCTCTCCCCTGCTTGCTCTCTTTCTTTCTCAAAATAAATAAATAAATAAACTTTTTTAAAAATGCATGTTTCTTGTTAATTTATTTAACATAATGTAGGGGCAGAATACAGAATACCATATTAGGTCCAGTGAAGTTCATTTTAATTCTGTCGAGCTGAAGTGACATGACACCCAGTCCTCCATGTTTCCAGTGGGACAGAATTGTGTGGAGGCTAAGAGGTTGATCTGAATCCCAACCCTCCACTTACCAGCCACATGGGTTTAGCCAGGTCAAGAAACTTCTCTGGGCTTGCCTCATCTATAAAATGGTGATAATCTCAGTTTCCTGCATTTGCTGAAAGGATTAAATGAGAAAGGACATGTAAAATGCTTAGCAGAAAGTGTGTGGTAGAAATATCCAATCTAGGAAGCTTTTAAAAAATTCAATTCTGATAATCACAAGGATATAAAGATCCCAAGGTATGCATAAGAGTACTCACGTAAATACTATGAGTTGAAAAAGGTCTATGAACAGGAATTCCTTTGTGTAGAACTATTTTTATCATGTGTTGAGTATGCCAACATTGTCTACATCCACATTGCTACTGGTTTTGTCTGTTGTTTGATGTATTTCTTACCTGTGAATGCTTTACATCAAGCAATATTTTTAAAAGTATTAAAGTATAAAAGACCAAACTTTTGATGTCTTTATAAATATGCTGGTTCATCTTCTCTTAATTCTATATACATAAAGAAGGGGGGGAGGAGCTAGTTGTAATTTAGTTACAATTTATCCTTTTACATTTTTTAAGATGTGGGGAAAATGGTGTCATTTAGTGTGGAAAGTAAGGCAGGTGTAAATATCCATAGCCACTTCCAAATGCCAGATAATTTGGGTTATAAATGCCATTCCTACATCATTTGTAGGATAATCAAATATAGTTGTCACTTTGTTGTCCTGATTAATTAATTCGAAGTTGGCCCTTGAACAATACAGGTCTGAACTATGCAGGTCCTTGTATTTTTTTTTTCCATAAATACAGTACAGTATTTTCTCTTCCTAATGACTTTTTTTTAAAGATTTTATTTTCAAGTAATCTCTACATCTAACGTGGGGCTTGAATTTATAATCCTAAGAGTCGCATGGGGGCTCCACTGACTGAGCCCCATAGGCACCCCTTATGACTTTCTTAATAACATTTTCTTTTTTCTAGCTTACTTAATTGTAAGAATACACTATAACATAATATATAATATATAACATAATATATATAACATAAAAACATGTGTTAATCAATGGTTTGTTACCGGTAAGGCTTCTAGTCAATAATAGAAGGGTATTTATTAGTTAAGTTTTTAGAGAGTTAAGTTACACATGAATTTTCAACTGCACAGGGGAATGGTGCCCCTAACCCATGTTGCTCAAAGGCCAAGTGTACTCATTTAAAAAATTTGTGCTACACAGTGAACAAGTCAATCACATATGGTTGTGATTTTTCTATCATACTTTAAAAAAACGTTTACTATTAGGCCTGAACCAAGATGTCCAATGTAATTTTTTTTGGAAACAGGATTTCTCAAAGTTGCTTCTCGATATTTATTTTTGGTGCTTAATAATTTGGGAGCTATTGTTGAAGGCTTCCCAAGGTTAGTATATTCATAGAATTTTTAAGCTTAATGAATGCTATGATGTGTGATGAAACTTTGATCGCTGAATTAAAGTTCTCTCATTTCATTAAATGGAATTGTGTTCAATATGAATTCTCTGATGAACAATGAGAGTAGATTTCTTGCTGAAAGCTTTTCTACAATTATTACATTCAAAGGGTTTTTCTCCAGTATGTATTCTATGATGTACAGTGAGGTGTGACTTCTTACTAAAGGCTTTTCCACACTCAATACATTCATATGGCTTCATCCCAGTATGGATTCTTTGATGTACAATGAGTTGTGATTTCTGGATAAAAGCTTTTCTGCATTCACTGCATTCATAGGGTTTCTCCCCAGTATGAATTCTCTGATGTTCAATGAACTGTGAGCTCCGGATGAAGGCTTTCCCACAATCACTGCATTGATAACTTTTGTCCCCAGTGTGAGTTCTCTGATGTACAATGAGATCTGACTTTTGAATGAAGGCTTTTTTACATTCATTACACTCAAAGGGCTTCTCCCCAGTGTGAACTCTGTGATGCACACTTAGTTCTGACTTTCTGTTGAAGTCCTTTCCACATTCAGTACATCCATGGGGTTTCTCCCCAGTATGAATTCTCTGATGTACAATGAGCTGTGACCGCCAGATGAAGGCTTTCCCACAGTCACTACATTCATATGGCTTCTCCCCAGTATGAGCTCTTTGATGAACACTAAGTGTTGATTTCTTGATGAAAGCTTTCCCACATTCATTGCATTCATAGGGTTTTTCCCCTGTGTGAACCCTCTGATGAATAATGAGGTTTGACTTCTGGATGAATGCTTTCCCACATTCACTACACTCATAGGGTTTCTCTCCTGTATGAGTTCTCTGATGTACAGTGAGTTGTGACTTCTGAATAAAGGCTTTTTCACATTCATTACATTTGTATGGTTTCTCTCCAGTATGAATTCTCTGATGTACAGTGAGTCCCGACTTTCCACTGAAGGCTTTCCCACACTGAACACATTTATATAATTTTTCACTGGTAAGAATTTTTGGTTATGCAAAAAGGTGTGGCTTTTGCATGAAGGCTCTGTTGTGTTCATTAGATGTTCTGTTCAGATGAATTCCTTTCCCCAGTGCACTGTTACATTCACAATCTATCTCCTCAGTCAGTGGCTTATTGTTAATGAATGCAACATGGTTCAAAAAATTGTTTTGGTTTTCCTGGTGATTTACCTCATCTTCAAGTTTCCAGTCTTCAAAGGTTGAGTATACAGTCATGTTATGGAGTATCACTTCTTCAGAAATGCTCTTCTGTGGTGTTAATTCTTTCATTCCAGTTGCAAAGTCTGAAAAAAGCCCAAGTGTAAGTGATCTTACTTCACTCTTGAGCTTTGAAGAATGCAAAACACAAAAATAAAAAAGATAACATTCTTTGTTTTAATAGAAATAGATACAAATCTGATAATGAGTACAGTCAGCTTTGAAATAAATGTAAGCTTAAAATTCAAAGATAGAAGAATAAATAGGCATAAAAATAAAAAAAGAAGTGAGCAAGGGTGCAATGGAAAAAGAAGAGTTGAACTCAGTGTCACAGTCCCACATGGCACCAGCCCCAGTACACCACAAGGCTCTGTGAACAGCAGCGGCAGATCCAAAAATCATTTCAGTAAAGACAAAGGAAGGATGCTAGCAAAGGGGACCGAGAGTCAGTTGAAGTAACTAGCGGAAAAATTAAATCCACACTAAATATAAAAACAGTTATAAATATTTTATAAGTAACCAAGCACATTAGAGCACCACTACAGGATAGGGATTTCCAGGTATATGCATCTCAAAGAGGCATGGAATAGGACAGGCTCTAGTTAAAGGGGTAAGTTCTGAGTTAGAAAACAGGTAGGTTCAAAGGGATAAAGAAGAAAAAAAGGAAGAAATGCCTGCTCACAACTGGGTGGTGGTAATGAGGAAGGAAGGAAAAGGAAAATTTAGGGTCCTGGAAGACAAGAAAACCACAAAACCAGAAAAGCCAAAACTCTTCTCCAATCCCAAAAGAAAGGAAGGAGGGGAAAAGACCCTACTATATTAACAGAAAATGACTCCACTAAATTTAGAAATCTTATCAAAACACTGTGATGTATTAAAAAGGAACAGAAGAAAAGTATAGTTCATAGAGAACTACTCAGAAAATCAGGAAATAAATTTGTGCAGATCTCAACAGAGGAAACTGTTCCCTGCAAAACACAAAAATAAAGCCAAAAATAACTAGCCATGAACCAGAAGAAAATATTGTCTGAACCCCAAACAGAATATACTCAAACAAACATCTAAGGATCTGGAGAATCACCATGAAGCAGAACTTACTTTAAAAAAACAAAGAAGCAAACAAACAAAAAATGGAGAGATGAGAAAGAATTGGTTAAACTCAGAGGGAAAACAAAAGATTAAATTACAAGGTGTGGGCTGAGAGGTAAAGAGAATTTAATAAGCAGCACTGAAAAAAGATAGGAAACCAACCAAGATAATAAAAATGACAGAATCAAGTGAAAATGGTCACAGAGAAAGTAGAAAAAGGCCAGCAAAGGAGGAATATTTATATTGCTGGAGTATCTGAAAACTGAAAAAGCACAAAACAAGAGGTTATAATACCAAGACATATGATTCTGAAAGGAAGATGAATAAAACAAGGTAATTAGAAAGGATATGATTATCATTTGGTAAGTTACTTTGATAGAGGGCATATCTAAACCCGGGTGTATGTGTAACGTGAAGAGTATAAGCCCATTTTTGAAGAAAAGGCTGCTACGGGTGTCAGCCAAAGGGAGGTTAACTAATTAAGAATGTCCTAAATAATATGGGCATAAAAATCCAAAAGATCCAAAGAACAGATAAGGAGGTTACCTCTCTAAAAGTTAAGCAAAGAAAATGGATTGCGTTGTGTTTGATATGTAGAAGTGTTATTTAGGTATTTGACCATCCCACACCAATGGTCTTCGGCCATTCTGAGACATCTATGGCCTTAAAAGAATGATTTCCTAAAAAATATTTCAAAGATAAATGTCTCACTATCAATACTAATCTAACATCCCTGTCTCCCACATGCTAGGTTCTCACTTACCTGAATAGGCCCAACTTGAGATTTCTCCCCCCTCCATCCATGGTTCTCCTTGCTTCAATAACATTACATCTGACTTCAGATACCGATACCCTGTTTATGGGAAAGGATATAGGACTCGGGCATTAGTGGACATCCAACCATCCTAGAACTCAAGCCCCACTACATATGCACCAGCATAGCTAAAATTAAAAAGACTAACATTACCAGGGGTGTCTGGATGGCTCAGTCATTTAAACATAAGTTTACTCTTGATTTCGGCTCAAGTCAGAATCTCAGTTTCACGAGTTCGAGCCTGGCATCATGCTCTGGGCTGACTGCTTGGAGCCTGCTTAGAATTCTCCCTCTCTCTGCCCCTACCCTGCTCATGCTCTCTCTGTATCTCTCAGAATAAATAAACTTAAAAAACAACAACGCTGGGCACCTGGGTGGCTCAGTCAGTTAAGCATCCGACTTCGGCTCAGGTCATGGTCTCACGGTTAGTGGGTTTGAGCCCCGCCTCGGGCTCTGTGCTGACAGCTAGCTCAGAGCCTGGAGCCTGTTTCAGATTCTGCTTCCTCTCTCTCTGACCCTCCCCTGCTCACACTGTCTCTCTCTCTCTCTCAGAAATAAATAAAAAAACATTAAAAAAAAAAAAACGCTAACATTACCAAATGTTGATGGAGCTGCCATACACTGCTAGTAAGAAATAAATTGGTATAACCTCTATGGAAAACTATCTGGTAGTAGCAACTAAAGCTAAATACACATGTGCCATGATCCAGAAATTCCACTCTTGTATATATACCCAATAGAAATAAAATGCTTATTTCCACTAGAAGGTGTATATAAGAATGTCCATAGAGCTTATTCAATGGCCCAAATCTGAAACAAGCCAGGTGACTACCAACACTAGAATGGGTAAGTTGATGAATCACTGTAAACTCATTGAATGGAGTATGATGAAACAATAAGGAGAAACATGCTACTGTCCACTGCAACAACATGAATGAATTTCATAGATACTATGTTAAATGAAAGATGTCAGACAATAAAAACTTCTATACTGTGTGGTTACACTTACATACAGTTCAAGAACAGACAAAACTAATTTACGGTGATAGAAGCCACAAGTTGTTATCACAAGTTGAGGAGATAAATGGCAAGGGGTTGATGGGAGCTTGCTAGGGTGCTTGAAATGTTTTATACATTGAACTAGAGAGTGGTTAAATAACAGGGAAAAAATGCATCCATCTGGATATTCAAGATTTGGGCAATTTACTATATATGTTCTATGTCAATTAATCTTATAAAAACTAAGAACATGGGTACAGCCCATCATCTTTAACCTCCAAAGAATGAGCAGGATGTAGCACCCATTTTCTTTTCATCCAAGTCCACTGGAATATTTGGTATTCAAAATTAATATTCTTTTGACCTTTATAGCTTGAAATGAAGCTCATTAAATATTCAGAGACCCAGAAGCTTTCAGTAAATAAGAAAGGAAAGGCAGGCAGTTGGGTACTCTGGTGGGTTTAATGTATGTTCGTAAGTTCTTTGGCCCTCCTCCCATCGAGAGAGTCTCTCCTCCCCTTAAGCATGGGGTGGACTTAGTAACTCATTTCTAATAAACACAATAAGGTAGAGGTGATGGTATGTGATTTCAGAGACCTGGTCGTTAAAGGCATTGTGACTTCCTCCTGGCTCTAAGATCACTCTATCTGAGGGAAGTTTCCCATATCATAAAAATAGGCCCGCATGGTAAGGAATTGAGACCTCTTGCCAATGGACAGCAAGGAACTGAAGTCTCCTGTCAACAGCCATGTGAGTGAGTTATCTCAGAAATGGATCCTACAGGGGCACCTGGGTGGCTCCATTGGTTGAGCATCCGACTTTAGCTCAGGTCATGATCTCACAGTTCACAAGTTCGAGCCCCACATTAGGCTAGCTGCTATCAGCGCAAGTCTGATGTCCCCTTCTCTCTGTCCCTGCCCCACTTGCACTCTCTCTCCAAAATAAACAAACATTAAAAATATTTTTTAAATAAAAAATAAATAAACTGCAAGTTCTTTAAAAAAAAAAAAAAAAGAAAGAAAAGAAATGGATCCCACACTGTCAGTCAAGCCTTCAGATGATTGCAGTCCTTGCTAACATCTGATTACAACCAAATTCCTGACCTATGGAAATTGTTAATAAAAATTCTTTGTTTTAGCTACTAAATTTTGAAGTAATTTTTACCTAGCAACAGGTAACCAGTGCCCAGTACCCTCTGAGATATGTACTTACCCACTGAGACAAGGTTGCTGTAGTTCTCCAGCATCACATCCCTGTACAGGTTTCTTTGAGTTGAGTCCAGCTGCTGCCACTCTTCCCAAGTGAAGTCCACAGTCACATCCTTGAATGACACAAGTCTCTGTACAGGACCTTCCTGTTCAATCTAAAGTGAAAAACACTGGTGATGTGTAAAGCATGTATGAGGAATCATTGCCATTTTAATCATGCAGGGTTTATCTTAATAAATTAAAGAAAATGTTAATACTGGGAGGCCAGTTTTCCTATGTGGGAGAAGCAGAACACCTATTAGGAAACCTCTGCTATGGAGAATCATTCATCCTCTCTTTCCATCAGTAAGCGCTTATGAGGCAACCACACAGCCGGCATTATATTAGTATGAATAAAACACAGGAAGTTTTCAAATTAGTAGATGGAGGCAAACAAGTAAATCTATAAATGCTACAGGGTGCTGAATAGGTTATAATAGAAATAGGAAAGAAAGAATGATTCTACTTTCTGAGGTTGAGTTGGGCTTTGTAGAAGATGTGCAGTTATGCAAAATGAAAAATGTAAAAATAATTTTTAAAAAAAGTAAAGATAAAATAACTTTTTAGAAATGTAAGAAATGAATAGTGCAAACTCCAGTAAGATATAGAAGAGGGAGAAAGACCATTCTAGATGGAGAAAGGAGTATGAAAAAGCCACGGTGACATGAAAAAGAACATGGCAAATTCAGAGAATTTTACGTACTTCAGAATAATGCGCTCGGAAATCACTTATTCATATGCTGCTTTCACAACTTTTACACATCTGCATGTCACTTGCACTCTTATTGACTTAAGAGTTTTAATTCAACTTTTTGACTTAAATTCATGATTTTAAGTGGAAAATACTATAGGGAAAACCAGTATCAGTTCATAAAACGAAGATAACAAAAATCTGTAAAACAAGTAGATACTGACGAAATGCCATGCATGAGATTTCCTTTAAAATACTCTACAGAACAGGGACACCCGGGTGGCTCATTTGGCTAAGTGCCCGACTTTGGCTCAGGTTATGATCTCATGGCTCGTGAGTTCAAGCCCCATGTCTGGCTCTGTGCTGATGGCTCAGAGCCTGGAGTCTTCTTCGGATTCTGTGTCTCCCCCTCTCTCCACTTAAATGAAATATCTAGAATAAGCAAATTCACAGAGACAGAAGTAGTTCTGAAGTTATCAAGGGTTGTGAGGGTAAGGTAGAAATGGGAATTATTGCTCAATGGGTACAGAGTTTCTGTTTGGGGTGATCAAAAAATTTTGTAAATTATGTTCACAAATTGTGAACATAATTACTACTACTGAATCACACACTTAAAAATGATTAAAATGGCAAATTTTATGTTACATAGATTCACCATAAAAATTCTACTGGTCCAAATTAACTTTGAGAAGTTCCTATTATAATAGATCTTGTAGATCTATTGCCAAGTGGCAATAATGACTAGGCAGTTAGACTTCAGTGAAATTATAGCTGTTCAGATAAAAACCATGAAGCATGGAATTCAAAAGGAAGAAAGTAAGAAGAAAAGGGAGAAGTAAGAAGCAGGGAGTGGGATGTAAAGGACACTGAGAAAGTGGAGGATCAATGGATCAGAGCTCTGGATGGAAGTGAAGAATTACTGGAGTCAAGGTACTAATGTAAATAAACTAGGAACCAAAATAATGGCCAGAGTGAAATGCTTGGTGGTACAGTTATTGGTAAGTATATATCTAGAATAGGACTATGGTAGGGGCGCCTGGGTGACTCAGTCGGTTAAGCATCCAACTTCGGCTCAGGTCATGATCTCATGGTTCGTGGGTTCAAGCCCCACGTCCGGCTCTGTGCTGACAGCTCAGAGCCTGGAGCCTGTTTTGGATTCTGTGTCTCCCTCTCTCTCTGACCCTCCCCTGCTCACTCTGTCTCTCTCTCTCTCAGAAATTAAAAAAAAAATTTTTTAATAAAAAAAAATTTTTAAATAAAAAAAAACATTAGAATAGGACTATGGTAGTGGTTGAGATGAGATAGAGGAAAACGATGTCTGCAAAGGAGGAGATACACTGGTACTGGAAGCACAGAGAGTTAAAGGTCCCCATTAAAAGAAAGACAAGACAGAGCTCCAGTGAAAAGTCATTTTAAGCCCCTAGCTATTCTCCACTGATTTATGCCCTCTGGGTTCTACTTGCCTGTACACATTTCTTGCAGAGCTTCCTAGGGGATTAGAATTAAATGCAAAAAAAACTTTGGTAGTTAAGGATTTCAAAGGAACAAAGGGAATACAGAAAGTAAGTCTCTACCACGCTAGGAAAGCAACGGTAAAACTCCCAAACGCTGTTTCAAAAGCAAGCAAGGCCCTGAATTTCTTACCCGAGGTAAGGAGCCCAAGACCACATCCAGTTTATACTGGCTCTCAGAGCTGGCCCACAACCCCTTACTCTAGTCTGACCTCTCCATTATAATGTTAAAGTCTCTGCCCTAAAAGAAGCACAAGCTTTCTTAATGTAACATAGGATACAAGCATTGGCATGTTTTCTAAGTACGCTTGTACAACCTTCTGACTGCCTTTACATGAAATGACTCCACTTCCTGAATACTCATCCTAAACCCTAAAAAAAGAGCCCACTCACCCCTGCTCAGGGTGTCACAGCTTTGGAAGTTATTGCCTGTGATCTCCTTATTTACTGCAAATAAGTTTCCTTTGTGCGATAACTCTACCTGGTGTAGTTTCTATCTGACTCACCCAGGAGTGAACTCATGTTAGTTCGGTTACAGTACCAAAAGTACTGTGGTAATGTGATTTATAATAAGAAATTTGTATTTGGTCTTTGTAGTTACTAGCATTGAGCTCCTAAGACCCTTGGAGGAGTGCTTGGGTGGCTCAGTTGGCTAAGTGACTGACTTCAGCTCAGGTCATGGTTCGTGGGTTCAAGTCCTGCCTGGGGCTCTGTGCTGACAGCTTGGAGCCTGGGGCCTGTTTCGGATTCCCTGTCTCCCTCTCTGCTTCTCCCCTGCTCACCCCTCTCTTTCTCTCTCTCTCTCTCAAAAATAAACAAACATTTTTAAAAAATTAAAACCCTTGGAATTTCCTCTGTTGAAAAGATAAAGGTGTCTTTAGTTATGTTAATGAGATGGCTTCCAGAAAGTACTTGAGGAAAGGGTGGCTAGTCACCAGGGGAACCAACCAAGAATAAAGGATTGGAACTTTCAGTCCCACTCCTGACTTTTTGGAGAGGGAGGTTCAATGGATCACCAATGGCCAATGATATAATCAATCATGCTCACGTAATAAAGCCTCCATAAAGACCCAAGAGGAGAGAGGTCAGAGAACTTCCAGTTCATGAACCAGAATCCTTCCACATGCCATGTGCCACATGCCAGGCCTTGAATTCCATTCTTCTTTGTTCAGGACCCTGTCTTATGTATCTCTTCATCTGGCTGTTGATTTGTACTCTTTAATATTCTTTGTAATAAACTGGCAATCTAGTGGACAAATTGGTTTCCTGAGTCCTCATTATGAGCCACTCTAGCAAATTAATAAAACCAAAGGAGGGGGTGTGGAGCTTTGATTTATAGCTAGTCAGTCAGAAGCACAGGTAACAACTTAGGACTTTGTGATTGGAATCTGAAGTGAAGGGCAGTCTTGTGGGGGCCCTTGACCTATAGGATCTCATACTATCTCCAGGTAGGTAGTGATGAGGGAGCTTGGGGCAAGCTGAGGGCAAAATACAGGCCGGCACCCATTCCTCCCACCAGTGGAATCTGTGTGATATTCCTCAGACACTCCTGATTACCCAAGAACAAAGGAAAGGGATTTAAGTGCTTGTCATGGTAATGTGGGAAACTAAGGCAAATGAAAAATTAAATTCCCTTACTGCCCACCGCCCACTGACAAGTCTTTGAGAGGGGCAGACTGACCTCCCTCTAGGAGCTCAGCTGCCTCAAGGATGACACTTTGCTGGGGGCAAAAGAGAACCTTAGCTTAACATTATCCTAACCTCAAAGATCTTGTAAATCCACTTCCTTTATCTCAACTGCCCCAAGATATATGCTGGCAATCATGCTCCAAGCTTCTGGCCCCCTGATATATATCTGAAGGGCCTCATGACTGTGGTTTTATTAAACAGTAATAAATGGCATTTCCAGGGGCGCCTGGGTGGCTTAGTCGGTTAAGCGTCCGACTTTCGCTTAGGTCATGATCTCGCGGTTCGTGGGTTCGAGCCCCGCGTCGGGCTCTGTGCTGACTGCCAGCTCGGAGCCTGGAGCCTGTTTCAGTCTGTGACTCCCTCTCTCTCTGACCCTCCCCTGCTCACGCTGTCTCTCTCTCTCTCTCCTAGAAATAAATAAAACATTAAAAAAAATTAAAAAAAAAATAAATAAATGGCATTTCCCTAGCAACAGCTAGCCCCTCAAGATCCTGGAAACCTTGCTTCCAAAATTCCTTAGAGACACACTCCATCCCTGACCTGAGGGCATATAATGAGTTACCTGTCATGACACCAGTGCAGCTCTTTCTACCCACAAGCCCTGTTCCCGTGCTTTAATAAAATCACCTTTTTGCACCAAAGACATCTTCAAGAATTCTTTCTTGGCCGTTGGCTCCAGACCACCCCACCATCACCCCGAAACTTCATCAGGTAGAGTCAAAATTGAGCTGAATTGTAGGACAGCCAGCTGGTGTCAGAGGATTGCTTGGTGGTATGCGGAAGAACCCCCACACACTAGAACTGGGTGCAGAATTACAGGTACATAACCCACTAGTCCCCAGACTTTTAAAATCAGACACTGGATATTGTGATACAACAAGAAATGTATATTTTGGTCTTCATCCCAGGCTCCTAGTCAGAATTCCTAAAACCTCTGCAATTTCCTAAGCAATAAAGGTGTGATAAGCATCTTTTGTTCTAATATTTGGTCTTTGACTCTGGTTCCTGACCCAGGGCTCCTAAAATCCTTGGAATTTCCTAGATGATAGGAACGTCTTTTGTTCTAATGAGGTGACTCTTTCTATTTTTCAGTTTAAAAAAAAAAGCACACACATCAATAATATATACTATTTTCAAAAAAAAAAAAAACCCATAATTACACATAAACACTTCAACACTTAATGCCATCTTATGGCATTAAGAAGATACGTATGGCATTAAAAAGATACAGGAGAAATTCTCTTTTCTCCCCATACCCCAGGACATCATCTTGCACATCTTCTAGGAGAAGATGCTCCCCACTTTGAAGACTACTATACTCAAACTGTGTGCTACATAGTGGGTATAACCAATGGAACATTACAGATAATGCTTCAATGATATACACCTTCAAATAAAAACATTTAAAACCATATGACAATTACAACCATTAAGATGCTTACTAGCAGTATTTAGCTGAGTGATAAACCAACAGAAATGAGCAAATTCACTTGACTTCCACTACCCATGAAGCATACTCACTTGATATACACTTTGAGGCTCTCAACCTATTGCATTTTAAAGGAAAAATATTTGATTCTTTATTGGTTAAAAACAGCAAATTAAAATTGATACCATTATGACCTGTAATTATATTAATTCCTTGAACCAACTTTACAAACTTTAATTTTCGGATCAAGGTAAATTTTTTGACAGCTATGTACTTGGGCCACACGATTTTACTGCCTTCAAATTGAATTATGCCTTGTTATTATGCCCTATCTTTGTTTGGAGAAATAGTTTAAGAAACAGCTATGGAGGGGCGCCCGGGTGGCGTAGTTGGTTGAGCGTCCGACTTTCGCTCGGGTCATGATCTCGCGGTTCGTGGGTTTGAGCCCCGCGTCGGGCTCTGTGCTGACTGCCAGCTCGGAGCCTGGAGCCTGTTTCAGTCTGTGACTCCCTCTCTCTCTGACCCTCCCCTGCTCACGCTGTCTCTCTCTCTCTCTCCTAGAAATAAATAAAGCATTTAAAAAAAAAAAAAAAAAGAAACAGCTATGGAGAGGCCTCCTATAGAATTTATCAAGAATTAATGGTACACATTAAGGATACTGCCTACATCATATGTATACAGACCCATCAAGAGAATAACTTCAAACCTAAATGCGAAAAATGCTTTCATTCCCTCAAAAAAATATCATATTTAATGTAAAATCATTATATTTAATCATAATGTAAAATCATATCATATTTAATGTAAAAATCATTGCAGATGATATGCTCAACTTTAATGAACTGTGAAAAAGATCCTATAACTTGTATCACTATATTTCACATTTCCTTGCTCTAGGTCTTCTATTTTATTTTCCCTGATTCTGTTTACATTTTTCCCCCATTAAATTGAACTAATTCTTTTATTTATTTTTTTTAATGTTTTTTTTTTTTAATTTATTTCTGAGAGAGAGAGCGTGAGCAGGGGAGGGTCAGAGAGAGAGGGACACACAGAATCTGAAGCAGGCTCCAGGCTCTGAGCTAGCTGTCAGCACAGAGCCTGACGTGGGGCTCAAACCCACGAACCGTGAGATCATGACCTGAGCTGAAGTCAGACACTTAACCAACTGAGCCACCCGAGCGCCCCTGAATTAATTCTTTTAAACTGCCTCAAATACAATGGAAAGCAAAATGGAATATAAATAACTCACCTGAGACTTGGTCATTTTCTGTTGCTCTTTAGAAGGCACAGATATCTGCAAAGACAGAGCTGGGATGAGCAGAAGGGGACAAAAAGAAGAACACCTTATGAGTGTGGGCCTGCCCCGTGATTCCTGCCCCTTTCAAAGGTTTCTTTCAGACCGGCCACAAAATATTATGCTGTGATAACATCAACTTATTAACTTGCAGTTCTGAAAAGGTCAGGCCGTGGTATGTTTTACCTTTGTGAATGTGTATTCCTTTATACCTTTAAAAAGTTTCTTCTCCTACTTTGGCACCATAAATCTGTAATTAGATATTTTTCCCCCCAAAAAATAAGCATGGATGTATATAAAGATATATCTGCAAGGAGATTCATCACAATGCTGCTTTATCACTTAAAAAGTAGAAACCACCTAGATGCTCGACAATATGGAAGGGCAGAATACTAGACAGTCATTAAAATATATTAGAGAAGAATTTACAAACTTGGAAAAATGTCCTTGTTGTATTACAAAGCAAGAAAAATAGGTTATAAAAGAGCATATATACTAAAAAGAAATATATTTGAAAAAAGTGTCTGGGGGCACCTGGGTGGCTCAGTTGGTTGAATGCCTGACTTCAGCTCAGGTCATTGATCTCACACTTCGTGGGTTCAAGCATCGGGCTCTATGCAGACAGCTCAGAGCCTGGGGCCTGCTTCAGATTCTGTGTCTCCCTCTCTCTCTGCCCCTCTCCTGCTCGTGCTCTGTCTCTCTCTCAAGAATAAATAGACATTTAAAATTAAAAAAAAAAAGAAAAAAGTGTCTAAAAAGGACATATATCAAAATGTTATGGTTATCTTTAGTGGTAGGATTAAAAGTGACTTCCAGTGACTTCTATTTAGCATTTTCAGTTTCTAGTTTTTCTAGCATAAACTGTTACTTCTTAAATTAAAAAAAAAAGATTGTTATTGTTAGCAACGCTGTCCTACTGACCTTTTAACCCAACTCCTATCAATGAAGTCCTCAAGGGCACAATTCACTAGCTCAATAAGTTCAATAAGCCGTAACAGGCACTGTCATCAACAGATTTATAGGACCACTTCAAATGTCACCTCTAGAAAGCCTTTCCAAATGTCTCCTGGATAGAATCAGCCATTCCTTTCTCTGACTTTCCCATACTGTCCAATCCTCTGATACAGGGCCTCCTGATACCAATTTAGGCCAAGGGAAAATGCAGCCTGAACCCGGACCACAGCAGTGGGAATGGGGAGGACAAATCGGAGGCATGTCAGGGAGGCTAAATCACCATGATCAGAAGATTGACAGGACATGGGGAGAAGATGGCTGGGGAGAAAACTAGATGTCTGCAGGATTTTTACTATGGCCATCTGGAAGAAGAGTGACTCTTCCTAATGATGAACACCACAGGATGAGCAGGTGAAGTATGGAGAATTAAGAAGATACACTCTGTTTCCACCATGTTGAGATCGAGGTTCTGTGAGTAAAGCCCACAGAGATGTGTAGGAGACCGTTGGCTACTGTGAATCTGAAGCTTGTTAGAAATGGCTAGGCTGGTGCTATAGATTGGCAAGTCATGGCTTTAAAGGCGGAAGCCTGATACAAGGAGTGTGGCTGAAAGCGTCCACAGGGAGCACGTGGCTTGAAAGAAGACAGGGAGGAGGCAAAGGAACTTTGAGAACGAGTTTTTGAGAGACTCCGGCTTTAAGTACTTAGCTAGCTACCAGACAGTAGAGAATAGAAACTGCCTGAAGTCTACTGACCAGATAGATCCAAGGGTGGAAACAAAACCTTTGGGTAAGGATGGGAACGCTCCCTGACCGCCCCCCCCCCCCCCCCCCCCCCCCCCCCCCCCCCCCCGTCCTTACAGGCACGAACCCATGCAAGAAAACCCAGCACACAATATGTGTGTGGAATGCAGCCTGAATGCAAACTGTTACATTTCAGGGCTGGAGCCCCAAACCCTAGTCGCAAACCACCTGCTCCCCAGGCTATCGTCCAGGCCCCTAACAGCTGCCCACTACATCCCACACACATTGACCGAACATAAACCTAAAGACGGCTCTTCAGGGCCCAACCACTGATTTCTCTGTGACCCCAACCCGTGACTCTGACTCAGAATCACACAGAGACGCCCCATCACTAGTCCCACAAATTCCCAATCAGTCGCGGACCCTCCTCGGCGTCCACTACCAGCAGCATCGCTAAATCCCGACCTACACGGGGGCGGCAATCGTGATTGTGGGCAGGCCCGCTTAATTACTAACCAAAGACAGAAAATTACGGACCGCTAGAGATGCTCGATCGCTGATCAAACATGATGCCCTTACTCCCAACACCGCAGCCAGTGACTGAAACGTCCTTTCCTGAGAACCGGACCCCTCAACTCCCCGCCTCTCCTGCGGGGACTTCAGCGGAGCTACAGTGCCGCCCCCTCGCGCCGTGAGGGCCGTGGACGCTCGGGTATTAACCGCGGAAGCGGGCGCAGCCCGCGACCTGCTTCTATCGCGAGACTTTCCGGGTGTTTAGTCGGCCTGAGCTACGGAAATTAATATGGCCGCGCCAGTGAGCGGAAAATGCGACCGAGTGGGAAGCGCCATATTTAGAGTAGGTGGTAGTGCCGTACAACAGAGCATCCTAAGAGCAAAGGAAGGTAGAACTGCAATACGGGAGCTACAGAAATGTACTGGGACATTGCGAGAGCAGCAAAGAATCCCAGGTCTCTGAGGATTGAGTCGGGGAACCTCTCCATCTAAGATGTGTAGAAAACAGACACGCAGGGCAAGGTGCAAATAACGGTGGGGAAGTAAGGTGGGGGAATAGGAGAAGCTGCTTCTGTTACTAAGCCAAAGAGCAGCGTGAGTCTCAGCCAGAGTCAGCTGATCTACAACACGTTGCCTCACTTTCCCAATATGAGGCATAACAGTGATGATAATATGCGTACTGAGGGAGATTATTTAATTTAGGTTTCAATGGGGATGGAAAAGTCAGGATGGAGCAGTATTCTCCCTGAGACAGAGCCGTGGGAGAGGAAAAGTCAGAATGCTTTCATCTGGTGACCTCCAGCCAGTCATCCTGGAAAATGAAATTCAAATGTTCTCCTCCTGGAAACCCTGTCCCAGATTGGGATGGGAAATCTCAGCCACTGCTAAAGACACATCAGATGGCAGCGGAGGGGAAGTGTTTGAGGATAAACTCCGGAGGATAATTTCAGAACCCCTACATCCTCCTCTCATCCTGGTCTCGAACTTGCTCTGTGGCTTTGGGCCAGCCCCTTTCCCTCAGTTCTCTCTTTTGTAAAGAAGAGGAAGGTTGTGCAGTATTCATTTGAGTATTTCAATGTTTGCTGAAAGCACTTCAGAATCTGTGTAGATTTTTTAAAATAATAAATACCATGTATTTTTTACTGTTATTACTGTTAATGATTTATGTTTAATTATTATTAAAAATGATTATGTTTAATCATTAATGATTAATGATTAATGTTTTAGTGTTATTACTGTTAATGAAACAAGGAGGCTGTTAGACAGAGGTGGTTCGAATGCCTTAGCAACCCTCCTAAGCAAACCGAAATCTAAGCCTGTAAATGCCTCAAGGTTAAGAAATCAAAAGCTAAGGACAACCAATCACAAACGAGAGCCCAAATAAGACAACTGTTTAAACCATAGGCAATCAATTTCCTTGCTTTGCTTCTGGGTCTTCTTTGTAAAATCTTGCCTCTAGCTCTTGTCAGTGGAGGAGCACTCCTTACCACTTGTGGTTTGGGGCTGCCTAATTTGAGAGTTTTTGCTCAAATAAACTTAAAATTTTTAGAATGCCTAAGTTTGTCTTTGAACATCACGACAGAATATCCAGCCCTAACTAATGCCTAGAGACACTATGATTAATTCTCGGGGTTCATTCAGCTCTTTAAAGTCTTATACAAGTGGATGTCATGCTTCTGGAATGTCGTCCCCAACTGTATGTCAGGAAGAGTTCTATTCATGCTTCAAAACTGGGTGCAAAAATCCTGTTCTAAGTTTTTCCCAGAGCTCCCTGTCATCTGTGCCTTTTCAGGGGCACAGCAGCATATGCCTTCCACTGTCACAGTCATCATAGCCAAGCACTGGGATTTCCAGTGTTTGTCTTTTCTCCCCTTTGGTCTGACAGCTTCTCAGGGCAAGACTGTGTCAGCATCAGCCTAGTTTTCCCTTTTTTGTTAAATACATATTTATATCTCCTGAGTCCCACCATCATGTGAAGTTCATTCATTCCTTTATTCACACACATTATTGTCATGTTTGGTAATACAAGGAATGAGCTCGGAGTCTGATAGTGACCATGTAGTGTGACCAGTGACCTGATAGACGCATGACTGGAGCTGTAGGGCACAGTAAGAGGTAAATAAGTCGGTGGGGGACTGGAGTGGTAGTGGTGGGGTGTGGGATGGAGTTTGGCAGGAAAACAAGATGAAGAAGGGAAGTGTCAACAGAACAGCAGACATATACCACTTCTCACATACCTGAGAGCAGACTGATCCCACCTCTATATCTTTGTTCAGAAGGTTCCCTCTGTTAGAATACTCCCACACTCCTATTTTGGGGGGGAAATTCCATGCCAAAAAATCAGGGAGTCTCTTATGTCTTTGAGGTCCTAAATTAATAGTTTTTTAGATGTTTAAATAACTCAGGAGTCTGCAATGTACAACACTTAGGCAAATCTGGCCTGCTCTGTTTTGATAAATAAAGCTTTATTGGAACACCATCATGCTCATTCATTTAGTTATTGTCTATGGTTGCTTTTGTGCTATAATGACACTGTTGAGTAGTTGTGATGAGAACCATATGGCTGATCAAGTCTAAACTATTGACTATCCCTTCACAGAAAAAGTTTGCTGACCCCGATCCAATTTAATGCTGAGGGAGAAACAATTATTATCCCGTATACAGAGAAGGAATTTCAGGCACCAAAAGGTCACACAGCTTGTTAGTGGTGCAGCCACAATGTAAACTCCCTAAGTCTGACTGAGAGCTTGTGATCCTAACCACTACACTATACTATACTACACCTTAATGAATGTCTTTTAAATATCAATTAATTTCTTTTGGTATAGAGGCAAAGATAATTAATATAATTATCAATATAATTTGTCATCCAAACCAGGACAGCTTTGACAGTAAAAAGAGGTGCAATTAATCACTACATCTGGGGGCGCCTGGGTGGCTTAGTCAGTTAAGTATCCAACTTCAGCTCAGGTCATGATCTCATGGTTCGTGGGTTCGAGCCCCATGTCGGGCTCTGTGCTGACAGCTCAGAAGAGCTGAAGAGCCTGCTTCGGATTCTGTGTCTCCCTCTCTCTCTGCCTCTCCCACGCTCACACTCTGTCTCTCTCTCTTTCAAAAAATAAAATAAAGACATAAAAATTTTTAAAAAAATAATCACTACATCTGGACATGCAACACAAAACCTCTCCTGAACAATCTCTGATGTGTGATCACCCTAGAGATAGGAACAGAGATACACAAGATGGAGCAAAATAGATAAAATTACAAAAGATGTTTTACCTCATAAGCCAAATAAGCGTACTTTCTTGCTTTATAGTCATACACATATAAGTTAAGAATACTTTCTTGTGAATTTTTATGTTACTCTCATTAGCTTATGATACTTCATCATGCTTAAACAGTAAAAATAATTCTTACTGTCCAGATACTCCAAGTTATTCATGTTGTATGTGAGGGGGGGCGGGAGGGGATGTTCTGTTCAGTATTCTACTCTACTCTCAGCTGGTTTATAAGGTGAGAGGAAACATGGGCCAGACAATCCATAGAAATGGCATTATGCACCTAAGGAAAAAAACGTTTAGAATCTTCTCTGCAGCAGATGTGTGCAGATGTGTGATAGCTACCTACTTTGATATGAATTTAAAATCCAAATATTGCCTTCAGTCAATCAAATCAAATAAAAATACATCTACAACTGGTGGTTCTTATAGATTATTCTAGAAAGGAGATGGAATCAATCCGGGAAAGCACATACAATGGAAAAAACAGGACACCAAGGATGGAGCCCTGGAAAATTCCAACTGGTGAGGGATGAGAGAAAGAGGAATTGATGACGGGAACAGAGGAGAGAGGGAAAGAAAAGAAGATCAAGGAGAATGGTGCCAGAGGAACTTACAGCAAAATATTTCAAGGAAGAGGGAAGCATTAAATGTCAGATGTAACCAAAAATCCAATAAAATAAGGACAAAACAAAATGTTCCTTGGATTTGATAAGAGCAAGATGGTCTTTTCAGAAATTGTCTCACAGTAATGAGGAAGACAGAGCCCTATTGAATTCTACTGAAATGTAAATGTAGACTGAAGAAGTAGAAACACTAAGATAATACCAATTTTCAAGAAGCTTGTATATTAAGGGAGAGAAAGAGGAGGAATCAGGTTACAAGCTAGTATTTTTTTTTAACGTTTTACTTATTTCTGAGAGAGAGAGAGAGCATGAGCAGGGGAAGGTCAGAGAGAGAGGGAGACACAGAATCGGAAACAGGCTCCAGGCTCTGAGCTAGCTGTCAGCACAGACCCCGACGCAGGGCTCGAACCCATGAACTGCGAGATCATGACCTGAGCCGAAGTCAGACGCTCAACCTACTGAGCCATCCAGGTGCCCCCCCCCCAAGCTAGTATTTTTAATATACAAAAGAATTTAAATAGGTCAAAGACTGAATTATTTCCTGAGACATGTATGTCTTCAGACAACTACAAAGACACAGATCAAAACCCCAATAGAAAGAAAGGGCTGGTACCTCAGTAATAATTAAGGATATGTAAATTAAACAATGAACTTTCCCATATTGATAAAATTTTTAAGTTGATAGTATCCAATATGAAAAAAATCAAGTATGGAATTATTCACACATATACATAGATGAGTGGCAATCTGGCAATATTCTCAAATTGAATATGTTGCAAAACAACTTTAAAAAAGAAAAACAGGGGGGCCAGTGTGGCTCAGTCGCTTAAGCATCTTGATTTTGGCTCAGGTCATACTCTCATGATTCATGAGTTCGAGCCCCACATTAGCCTCTGTGCTGACAGCACGGAGCCTGCTTGGGATTCTCTCTCCCTCTCTCTGCCCCTCCCCTACTCTCTCTCTCAAAATAAATAAATAAACTCTAAAAAAAGAAAAGGAAAACAAAGTGGGAAGGCTTACATTCTTTACCTGACTTCAAAACTTACTGTAATGTAATGTAATATTGGCACCAAAGTAGATAAATGGAACAGAGAGTCAAGAAATAGACTGCCACATACCTATTCAGCTGATGTCTGTTTATCCCCTGGTATTGGTGGTATCTGTGGTGGGCAGAGATGCCACGTGGAGTCTGCGGCAAGCCCCAACAGGAGAACAACATAGGCTCCTGG